TTAAGTTCAAATGATTTTGCTACCCTATTTATTATGTTTTAAAATTTAGATTCTACCAAAAACTCTTAAATTCATTGCAGACATTTCAAATAAATCACTTGATTTTCCACTTTGATTATAACATTTGTTGAATATTTTATAATGATTATAAAATATATTATACACTTTGAATAATATTATATTATTATAATATTATGATTTTCCACTTTCATTATAACATTTGTTGAATATTTTATAATGATTATAAAATATATTATACACTTATTAATTATTATCGGATATTCTTTGTCGATTATAGGACAAGGTAAGTTGATTTAATTTTTAATTATCATTTAATTCTACTCAATTTATAAAATGCATTTCAAATATGTTAGTATTATATCTAATGTATATATTATATCCAACATGATTGAAATAAGTAGTGAGATTTTTTTTTAAATAATATCGTTCGATATTTTCCGGGTTTGTAAAAAATAAAGCTTTAAGTTTTAATTTATTATTATATTATTTATTATAAATATTTATTAACCTTATACTACGTGCTTATAATGTTTAATGCTATGCAAGGCCCAATAGTAGACATAAAGAAAAGAATATTTTATATCTAAGAACTCTATTTCAATTTAAGTTCAAATGATTTTGCTACCCTAATTATTATGTTTTGAAATTTATATTCTACCGAAAACTTTAAAATTTATTGCAGACATTTCAAATATATCACTTGATTTTCCACTTTGATTATATCATTTGTTGAACATTTTATAATCATTATAAAATATATTATACACTTTGTATAATATTATATTATTATAATATTATGATTTTCCACTTTCATTATAACATTTGTTGAATATTTTATTATGATTATAAAATATATTATACACTTATTAATTATTATCGGATATTCTTTATAGCTAGATAAGAATGTGATAACTTATCTAATAGATACAGGTGTGTCACGCGCATGCGTATTGGGTGATGTGCATACCCGTTTGGCCGAATTCAGTTACGGTCTGTAAATACGCAGCCGGTTCTGGCTCCCCCGCTTCACCCCCTCCGTATTCGCCACCATGCGCCCTTCCCATCCCCACTCCTCCGTATAATTGACCGATCAGCGGTGTTTTCTTATACAAACTATTGATGTGCGGCATATATAAATAAGTATATATATATATGCTATATGTTATATATTAATACGTTGTTGTTATTGTTACATAATATTAGTATAGTAGATGATGAAATATAATATAATGTAATATATATATATTACATTCACTTCACTGTTAATATTTTTATATAATATAATTATATTATTATATAGAAAAAGCAAAATGCGTTATACTTATTATTATTATTAGTTTATTATTTCTGAAGTATAATTAAAATACGAATATCGTGCGTTACATATTGTTACAAATTATAACTTAACTATAAAATAATATTATACATTCCAAGGAAAAAAAAAATAAAAAAATAAATACGATATACATATATATATATATATATAAATATAGGTACATGAATTTTGTTTTCCTCACTTCGCCCGTAAACGGATTATATTGAATAATACGGTCGTGTATGACTAGGCAGTATGCGGCTGTATTGGCTGGGAAATTATTAGCTGCCTCTATCTCGATACGTAAATCAATACTTGAAGTCTTAGCGTCATCGTTTTGTCGCGAWYAATCTATACATATAAATGGACCCACCTCTTTATATGCTTCCCTTGACAAGCACGGCTGAGCGCTAAATCGTTCATAATAATGTATCTGGGAATCAACATAATTCTGATAGAACATGGTGAATCGATTTTTGTCGAAGCTTTCGTTGAAATCTTCATATGGGTATTCGACAGAATTAATATATGCTTTAACGTTTGTCAGCGAGCACGCGTCATAATCGACGTTATAACCGTCTGACACGGTCCCGGGTGCGTTCGTGAGAAAAACGATTATTAAGCATCTAGGTCTCTCTACCTGAGAGTATTTCTTTACCATCCAACTGTGCTTGCTGGTCTGAGGTAAATTGGGATACTCGCAAAGCTCCCAATTACCCACCCAAAGCACCACCCACATCTAAGTACGATTTATCCATAGTGTTGATGCGTGATATAAAGTAACAAATAAAAAATGTCTACTTGTTTGCGATCAAACGTAAAAATTTACGATTATCGAGCGTCAGCGTTTTTTTTTTCTTTTTCTTTTTGATATTATTACTACTAACTTTACCACGAACAGCTKCGGTGTGTTAGGGCGTGTGTCTGTCAGCAGTCGCTACTTTAATGCGTGTATCGCCGTTGTCCGCGGTATATTTATCGGCATTAAATTTCAAACCCATTTTTTATAAGCAACCTTATGTTCACAGCTTCACCGTGGAAATTAATTAACTTTCCGTTTTGATCGGTCAATGAAACTTGCACGAAATCGATCGTATTTGTTTTCAATTTATACAACACGCTATATTTAGGTATTTCAACTATTTTATAACCGGGCGGCGCGATCGGATAAAATTCGTGTATCGTATGCGATTGCCGTCCGCTGTTGAATGAGCCTAAAGCTAAGTTACATTCGACTTTTATCGTGTTGACGTTTATAATTTTCACCACGTGATCAGACTCATGTCTATACCAGAATACGCTTATCAAAGCCCAACAACGACGCGATGCTATCTTCGGTGGTTAAATCGATATCACTAGTACAATGTATCGTACATTTCAACGTGCTGCTATTAGTTGTTACGAACCCCTGAATCAGATTATTATAAATATGAATAATATTACATTATAATATTATTCTACATGATATTTTTAAGACCATCAGGAATAGTGTGTTGTACGACGGCGAGACCGTGGAATCCGCTGACATAGGATTTTGATTGTGACACGGAGCGTCGTCGCATAATACACTATACGGGAGGCCAGTCAGTCTTAAAATTACGTCTGAACCGATACATTGTTATTAGCCGTAGTAACTAATAAAATATAATTTTTATTTAATTATTTTGCGTACGTTATTTTATTTTGTTGTGTAAAATCATAACATAGTTGACAAATTAAAAAAATGCACGCCGACGTCCTTTAGAAGTTCACGTATTTTAGTTTCTAAAACAATTATTTCATAACACCCGGTAGGTATTTTAATCTTAGCGACCTCCGTCTAATTACCGTGAATAATATGTAGAGTATCGCATCCAGTCTYGACGTTAGGTATGRAATTATATGCTTGCATACTTAGAAGCCCGATTTCTGATTTATCACCCACTTCTATGGGTGGGAAAAAATGACATTCTAATTGGGAGCTGTTCCCACTCAACGATAGTGTCTGAGACGACGTGATGCCGTCGATAATATTATAAAAGTATTTTAATAATAATAATAATAATATTATAATTATTATTGTTTGTCATTTAAAAATTTTAAGCATAAAATATGGCCACAGTTAAAAATATTGTATGCTTGTTGACGTTCGTAATTATATTCGATGACACAGCCTTTAAAATACTTCACTAATTGTGGCGGCGGACGAAGGTCGCCGCGCCGTAGCTGTCGTAATAAAAAACTGTTTTTCCGATTATTTGTAAGACACCCAATGCGTGCCTTTATTTTTTTCAAAGTCGAGGTTAACGACAGCGCATTCCATGCATTTAGGACCGACGGCAGGCAATCTGTCTATGCTATATACACTTCTGAAATGACGTATTTTCTTAAATTTAGCGTATGCCATAATTTCGAAATCATAAAGAGCACGATTGGGTAAAATTAGTTTTTTGATCTCGACGATTTTCTACCAGTTTTTGTTTTCGCTGATTTGCGAATTATTAGCGCTGATTTTTTATTTTTTCGTTTTTTATTTTTATCCGCGGCCTTCTTTATCCTGTTATCGGTCCTTTTACGTGAACCTTTAACACCGGATTTCCGGGCAATAGTATACGAACCCCCACCTTTGTGTGGGTTTAAATACAAGCCTTTACCTAATTGTATAGGCGATCCGTTGTTTTATCTAATACTACGTATTGTCTTCACAATGTTGGACACTCCACCCGCCACCGTGCCCAACGCTGAAAGCCCAGCCAATATAGGGATTAGCGCTAATGAGCCGCCAGTTTTAGGGATTTTGATCACACGAGGTAGTTTATTTTTATTTTTTCTCGGCCGTGCATCTCCGATTGATTTCACATGTCTCCGTGCGACACATACAGTCGATTTAATTAATTTGCCCATATTAGGCGTTGACGAACACGTTTTGATCGATTTTTTTATCACTTTTTTACACACGCCTACAATATTACCGAACCCACATCCAGCACCGATTTTACGTTTAGCCTTCATGCCAGTGGTTACGAGCCACGCGGCAGCTTTTTCTTTATAGTCGGCGTCTTTCGTACCCACTCTGCTCCAAGCGTGTTCTTCCAATAGTCAATACACTGTCAGCAACACTAAATTCGGATAAATAATTACTTTTATCGTAAGCTATATCATGGTCTCTGAACGCTGAATCCAAACCATTTATACCGGTCTGACCTAGAGCTAGTATTTTTCCTAAATTAGTTCCCGGTCCACAGAACTGATAACCTGGTAGATGTAATTCGACTGGTAAACTATTTATTATAGTGTTCAACAGTCCCGTACCGCTATTGGACTTGGCCTTCCGACGTGGTAACATTATATGGGCGCATCGCACGATCGACACACGTATTTATACAATGCGATTCATCAGACAAGCCGTAAAACTCGAAGTTGATAATATGGACCCGCTATCGCTATGCAATAGCGATGTCGAGAAGCTACCGCCTAAACATGGGTCACTGTTTCCAAATTCTATCAGGACACTGATTGTAGGATCGTCGGGGTGCGGGAAAACGAATCTTATTTTCACGTTATTAGTACACGAGAACGGGATTAAATTTGAAAACGTATACATTTATAACACTACATCAGGCCAAATATACGATGCTAGATAAGATTTTATGCGGCGTTCAGGGTATTAGTTTATTCAAATTCAATGACAACGAGGCGGTTATATCACCCGAGAAAGCTATGCCAAACTCAGTTTTCCTATTTGACACTACATAGTGCGATCGGCGTGACGCCATCACAAGCCGACAATAACCCAGCACTGGTAAAATTAAAATACACCTCGGTGAAAACCACAAAACATAAATTTAGCGTGGGCTATAAAGTCCGTGTTAGCGTGTACAAGGGTGTGTTCACCAAAGGATATCTACCCAAATGGTCTACGGAAATATTTACAATTATTAAAGTGAACCGGACCACGCCATATGCATATATCTTACAACATTATACGGGTGACCCTATAGCTGGTGGATTTTATGCGGAGGTGATTCGTAAAACGAGACTACCCGATGATTATCTAGTGGATAAAATAATTCGCACCAAAGGTCAGCGAGTATTCGTCCGCTGGTTAGGTTTTACCGACGAACATAACAGCTGGATTAATAAGTCAGATCTTAGAATATAAKTTCAGTTATCATCACATCATGGATGTGTTCGGTGGGTCGCCGTCCAGTCAGTTGAATAAGGTGATCAGCGACATGAAAGAAAAGTTTTCCGAAGAACTCGACACCCACGTTAATTTGATTGGAATAAATTGTTCAAAAATCGCGAAGCTTGATGAAAAGATACCCGATAAACTAGATTTACACACTAATTTAATCGAGACTAATGATAAACAATATTACTCTCGTTCAACGATTGTGTCCTAGCGTGTGAATTGCAAATAGTTCAGCTAGGAAAAATCAGCTCGGTGCCGGTGACCGATAAATATTTTATAGAAAATAATAATAAAATTGATTCGTGTATCGAGTCTATAGAGGATATAAACAAATAGGTACATTAAAGATTCTAAAGTCTCATTGACTCATGCGTACGCCAGAATAATTATATTTGAGGACAGATTTGCAGAGAATTTGAAACAGTCAGTGAACTAACCTGTGACCGGAAAGACGCGTTATACATAACATATACTACATAATATATACTCGGCAACTGTATTGCGYTCTCAGTGATTATGACGTCGGCTATCATAGATATTCAATGCATACTAGGTTCGAATAATAAATATCTAGTAAAAGAAATGTCGATTATCGATGTAAACAACCGTGTTAGCCAAGATTATATTTTCAAACACACTCAAACACCGTATACGGCGAAAAGCAAAGCTGAAAGCGGTGAACATGTGGTTGTACCGTAACTATTGTAGCGTTCCAGCATACATGAGGACAAACGACTGGTGTTGAGTTAGATGGATTGAGTGTAATAAGTATAACAACTTAATTGGTGATTAATTATTAGATATTTATTTGATTACTATGTAAATAAAACACTTTTTACTGCACAAAT